CTTTCTTGGTTTTGCTAACTTCTATCGGATCTTCATCAAGAATTATTCTCAAGTTGTTGCTCCTCTCACTCGATTAACATGCAAGGATAAGTTGGAATGGGGACCTTTGGCAGAGAAGGCGTTTCAAGATTTGAAGACAGCATTTACTACAGCTCCAATTTTGGTACATCCAGACTTTACAAAGGCCTTCCATTTAGAAACTGATGCTTCAGATTTTGCTTTGGGAGCTGTGCTTTCACAAATGAGTGAAGATAAGAAGCTCCATCCAGTTGCATTCTATTCTCGGAAGTTCTCTACTGCTGAAATCAATTATGAGATCCACGATAAGGAACTTCTTGCTATAGTGGATTCTTTCGAAGAATGGCGTCACTTTCTTGAAGGAGCTGCACATCCAGTAACCATATATACAGATCACAAGAATTTGGAGTATTTCATGACGGCTCGAGTTTTAAATCGGCGTCAAGCTTGGTGGAATATGTCGCTATCTAGATTCGATTTTGTTATCACTTATCGACCTGGAAGACAGCAAAGACTATCCGATGCTTTATCAAGGAGATCGTATCTTGCACCAAAGGCTGGAGAAGCAGCATTTGATCAACAATGTACAACGTTATTGAAGCCAGAGAGATTTCAACTTTGTGCTACTATTGTATCATTTAATGCTGACTTCCTAAACCAGGTACGTGCTATGACTATTAAAGATTCAATAGCCATTGATATCAAGCAACGTACCAATGACGACAAGTTCAAGGTGGAGGGAGATCTTTTATACTTTGAAGAGCGATTGTACATTCCAAAAAGACTAGCACGACTCCGAGTTCTTCAATCTCGCCATGATTTTTCAGCTGCGGGACATTTTGGATTCAACAAGACCTTAGAGCTTATTTCCCGAGATTTTTGGTGGCCCTAAATGTGGAAGGATGTGAAAGATTTTGTCCTCTCTTGTGACATCTGTTCAAGATCTAAGAATCCTCGGCATCGCCCTTATGGACTTCTACAGCCATTGTCAATTCCACGTCGACCATGGTCTTCAATTTCTATGGACTTCATCACGGACTTGCCATCATCAAACTCATTTGACAGCATCTTTGTCATGGTAGATCGGCTTACGAAGATGGCACACTTTATTCCTTATAAGAAGACATCGTCCAGTGAAGTCACAGCAAGACTCTTTCTCGATAATGTGTATCGATATCATAGACTACCAGATGATATCATATCAGATCGAGGTACCCAGTTCGTGTCAAAGTTTTGGAGATCTCTCTTTGGGATATTGAAGGTGGATATCAAGCTTTCTTCAGCTTTTCATCCTCAAACTGATGGCCAAAGGAAACGGGTGAACCAAGTCTTGGAGCAGTACTTACGATGCAGCATCAACTATCAGCAAGACGATTGGACTGCATATCTACCGCTAGCCGAGTTTGCATATAACAACACCCTCCATGCGTCGACTCAACAAACACCATTCTTTTCCAACTATGGGTATCATCCGAAGCTTGATTTATTGAGTCCGTCAATAAATAACAATCCAGCAGCTGAAGGATTTGCGAAGCAACTATCAGAGCTTCAAACTATGTTGAAGCTTCAATTACAATCCGCTCAAGAATCCTATAAGACGTCTGCAGATAGATTTCGGAATCCAGCACCTACTTTCAAAGTTGGAGACAAAGCCTGGCTTCTTCGACAAAATATCAAGACCAAGCGACCATGTGATAAGTTGGACTATCGAAGATTGGGACCATTTATCATCCAGAAGCAAATTAATCCAGTGGCATACCGGCTGGAGTTACCGGCTTCTATGAAGGTACATCCAGTCTTTCATGTTTCTCTATTGGAACCTTATCGAGAGTCATTTTTTCTTGGAAGAGTGCAATGTCCGCCACCTAGTATTGAAATCAAGAACCACGAAGAATACGAGGTTGAAAAGGTATTGGATTCACAGCGAAGGTGGGGAAAGTTAGAATATCTTGTTCATTGGTGCGGCTATGACATTAATGAGCAAACGTGGGAGCCAGCTGAAAATCTTACAAATGTGCCACAAAAGGTACAGGAGTTTCATCAACGACATCTCGATAAACCTAAATCAATTCGATGATAGCTTCTTTGTGAAGCTTGTTCTCCCAACAATATAAGAAAAGGGGAAAGCGCTAGCAAAATTCATAGTTGATGTAGTTATTTTCTCCAAGATAGATCATAGTTTGGTCTTTTGATATGGATAGCCAAGAGATAGATACTATGCCAGTCAGAGTATCGCAACCGAGTAGCTCACGAAGGCGACCCCGAGATGAAGAACTACATGTACCACGACGACGATGGAGGATACTGAGTAACCGATCACTGGTGATCGTATTTGAGATCGAGCCTGCTTACGATGGTCAACCAGAAGGCGTGTTTGCAGGACAATTTTACAATGAGGACACGGAAGTTCAGGCTTGGTCAGAAGTCAAAGGCGTGGGCCACTACCGTTGGCTTCAAGGGTCGATGAACCACTTGCCTCGTGAACAACAGTTGGAGTTCATAGCAGAAGTTATGCGACAGATCTTCATTTTCTTGCATTGGTACTAATCAACAACATTGCTTCTCAGAGACCTCGAAGCTAAAGGAGGGGGTGATGTTAGGGACATATTCCTTAGAACCTTCTAGAGAGAAGTTTCTAGAACCTTCTAGAAAACAAGCATCTGGAACCTTCTAGAAGAGAAGCCTCTGGAACCTTTTAGAGAGAAGTTTCTAGAAGCTTCTAGAAAGGAAGTCTCTGGAACCTTCTAGAAGAGAAGTTTCTAGAAGCTTCTAGAAAGGAATCCCCTGGAACTTTCTAGAAGCTTCTTAGTTAATAGAAGTAGCTCGAGAAGTTTCTAGAACCTTCTAGAAAGGAAGCCTCTAGAACCTTCTAGAAGCTTCCTAGTTAATAGAAGTAGCTCGAGAAGCTTCCTAAATAGGAGTATATATAGGGATCGAGGCTGAAGAGTTCTTCAGTCAGGACAACACATCTCTTGGAGTTCTAGCTCACCTTTCTGGTGTTGTTCTTATACTCATCTGTTTAATCTAGTTCTGCCACTTCTTCTTGAACTTCTTGTTAGATTTCAAGTCTATATTTTGTGTCCATGACAAAAAGATGATTGTCACACTTGACAACAAAGTCAATTGCTTGACTCAATGTTTCAGGATCAAGTAAGTTGAGCATTAATTTTTTTATCTCATATTATAATTTGTAAAAAAATTGGCTAATAAGTGATGTATCATCCTACTTGATATTAGTTGCAAGTTGTCAAAACTGTGAAGCATACAACTTTACTGATCGAATGCCTTATCGTAAAATACAGATCTTGTTGGTTTTGACATGAATTGCATCATGTTTACCATACATGGATCAAAACTCTACTAAAAAAATCTCCAAATTAACCAATATTAGATCTTGTCGTTCAAGAAAAGATAAAAACCATGATAATGCTGAATATGAAAGAAGCATACTAATGAATCTAACTTGCGATCTTGAAGTTGGATAGCTTTGGAATTGAAGTTCAATAACAAGTTGTATTTGATTGATAAATCCTCTAAACTTTGATGTGGTGCCATCAAACTTCTCGGGTATGGCAATTCTTGGTTCTCTAACACTGAAAAGGTGTTCCATTATAGGAGAAGGGATATGATTTGGTGCAGATGTTGAAGCAGTTCTAATCATTTCTATATCTTCACTTCCTACCAATCTTATTCCTCCTTGTGGTGGTAAATTGAATTGATGCATCGTAAGCATTAACTCCCTCAATTGCTCTTATATTTGTGCCATTGCACTCTTCATTTTAGTAAGTTCAGTCATGATAACATGTAGAAAAGAGAAGATGTCTGATATTGCATAAGATAAATAGAAGACAGGACTTGAAAACAAAGAAAATACTAAGAATAATATCAGTTTAGAAGAGGGTAATCCGCAACTTCTAATATGCTTATGTCTTATCAAGAGAAAGGGATAATCCACTTTTAATGAAGATTAGATAAAGCTCTAATATTGTAAGTGTACTCTTATCAATATTTCAAGTATAAGAACTTGATAAAAATAAATAAATAAGTGAGACTTTTTTCAAAGAAAGATGACAAAATAGAAATAATTTGATAGGCACAATGTCTTAGTATATCCCTTGCACCTTATTTGTAACCTTATTTGACTCTCCTACTTCACAGTTCAATGATTACTCTCTACCTTTTGCCATCTCTTCTATTCCAATATTTTACTTGTTTAGAATATACCTTCTATTTTGCTTCTGTAGCACTCTATTTCTTCCTTCCTAATTACAGAGCAGAGCTCTTCTCACCTAAAACTACCCTATTGCTCTGATACCATGTTGCAAATGTACACTTGAGTACTTTTTTCCATTAGAAGATACAATGTTTTATACATGGTGGGTAATCTAGCTGCAGTAAGTGGTAAAAGAGTTTTCACTTAATCCGAAGCGAGATGAGGTGACGTCATCGTCGTGGCCGACGTGGAGCAAGTGGGGGTGATTCATCATTGTTGTTCACTTGGAGCGAACACAAAGTGACTTGGCTGTCTTTATGAAGCGAGTGGGAAGGGACTTCATCGAGCGGCAAACTAGGTGTATATTCTGAAGCGATGTTGTCTACGAATGAGGAGTGCAGGTTGGGTATCGCCAACAGTGGATCCTGAAATCTGCAGCATGAGGTGTGCAGTGAAGCAATCCTGTGTACTAAAGCTGTAAAACACTGTTACACTCAATCCTTGACTTCTCAGCATTACAGGGTGTGCTCACATTTCGGCGACTTTGACTATAATAAGCTACTGTGCTCCATGATTTCTTTGAAATTTGGAAACGACCATGGGATAGTCACAACCCTATAATTGGATGCACTGGAATAGCTCTCAAAAACCAAAAACATCATCTCGTGCAATTCCCTGCTCATCAACATTCGAATAATTTGGCGCTTAGGAAGTTGAACAATAACACGAACTTCTGATCGAACGGCTCCGAACTCTGATCAGAGAAACCTCATGGTCAATGAATCTTATATTTGGGAATGCACTCACATGCTGCTATCGCGAGACACGGCCAAATATTCCTCTGAAAGTCTCCCCAATTGCCCACACCAACTGTAAGAATCTACAGCTGACCTCAACCAGGAGTTACAACGTGGTAATAAAAATAAAAAGAAATACTACTCCCAGTCTTCGTTTCCGGAGTTAATCACATTGCACTTTCCTCCCAGGGGCGGTCAAGTTGATGGGTTACGTAACTGGGCTGGTTTCTGTCGGCGATATAGCTCGGACACAGTGGCGAAATCATCGCAGTATCTAATCCTTACAGAGGCAGAGACACTGACACTCGCTTCAAATTCTTAGCGGTCACAGCCCGTCGTAGTTAATTCGTGTGTGATCAATGAAGCATCAGATTCGTGAGGAAGTAGCAGCAAATCATGTGTGACGCATTCATCCTTCTCTCAATGCATTCTGCAGCTGCAGAGGATTTGTTTTGCTGAAGGCAAGTTATTCGGATCGGGTCCGAAGAATTTCCGATGGGAGATAGAATTTGCTGTCTGAAACCATATTCTGTCATGAAGTTATAACTGAATTCAAAGGCTCTCCAGTGTATGCCATTTAACTGGTCTGCGCATTATCAACAAATGGCAAGCTATTTTCTAGAGGGAAGTAGCTGGCTAACTTAAGACTTCGACTATGAAGAAAGCTCCACTGAGGAGGCTGAACAGGTATGTTCCGAAGTATGATATGACAAATTGCTAAATAATTAACGTTGATGGAGTACGTACTAAAGAAGAATCGTTGGAGGTGCTGAAGTCGCTGGTAGAAAGGGGTGGCGCGAAGTTGATCCTGCCTCATGCCCACAGATTTTGTGCGCATACCTCCTCGAGCTAGAATTGGGCAGGCCCGGGGAGTAATCAGTTGTCGAAACTGGATTGGAGGTCTAAGCCTTTGGAATCCAATGTCTGGCATTCTATTCCAGACTGCGAGTTTAGTGCCATTAATTTGACACCATTCAAATCTCAGTTCTCTAAGCAGATGAAATAAACTTCCAGTGGAAAGTATAGAAAAACTGAATGTAGGGTTTAGTGATGACGAATCACTACAGAATCCTGCTCTGCATCCTGTCGGCCGCTGATTGAAGCCACCCTTTTGCCCATATCCTGTGGAAGCATTTCTTGCACGGGTATTGCTCGCTTCTATCTTTTATAGACCCTCATGTACATTTTCTCTGTTCGGGAACCAGATAGGTCATTCGATTCAGAAAAATAGTTTTGATGTTGTACCCCACTAATACCGCCCTCAGCAACCTCCTTAATGAGCACGTCTGGCTTGTCAGATGCGGAAAGTCCGTTCGTAGCCGGCAATTTCATTACGTACATTTCCGGGATTGCGTCCGCGCTCGGCTTCGCCTCATGCACGACTTCTGATTATCCAATCAAACGGGAATACGAACAATTCAGGACTCGATTTCCAGCCAAGTTTCACTCTCACCTTAACGAGTAAAAAGAAGCTTTCAAGGCAGAATTTATAACATAAATTCTAAGATAAAAGTACATAAGCAAATAATTAAATACGCAAAGGGTTAGGGATCTATAACAGCAAAACGGAACTTATGAATAAAGTTAAAGCGGGCTTCTGGATACCTCATACAAAACTTCAATCCCACCAGAGGCTGGCCTCCAGAAGATATTACATCTAGTATCTAAGCAATTTCGTTTGCGTTTCTGAAAGTTAAGAGAAAAAATAATGGAATGGGCGACCCGCAGAGACTGTTGGTCATGTTGCAAGGGAGCTGAGATAATTCATGAAGGTCCACTCAACAACAATTCACTTTAATTCTAACAAATAAAACAACTGTTACCTGAGGACCACGCCCACAAGATGAAGAAAACGAACACTATCAAGGGTGGAATGCAGTGGATGCGAGACACAGGCTTAGGCCTCAACTCCTTCTTGTTTGGCGAATGCAAGTCCATGGTATCAATTTTGAGTCGCAGGTCGACGTCACCTCGGCTGCCCATGTCAACAACGGTACTACCCAGGGAGTTCTTTGAGCGAGCCATAGATGGCGGGCTCGTGCTCTGTCCAGACGAATGCATCACTTCAAAACCCTCCGAGTGCTGTCAATTAATCTTGCAGCCTAACAGTTGAACCTCAAACACCCCTAACACAATCAAATCCTACACAAACACAGTAAACCGAATTGCAATGAGCTCTTCCTCGGTGAAATCCCACACGAGAAAATCACTGAAAAAGCGAACGCACGCACATATCACGACGAGTCACGTGCAAAAAGCAAGCAATCTTGGCAACAGCAAAGCAGATGCCCGCATCAACAGACACGAAGACCTCAACGCAGGATCACTCATACACAAAAGCAACGCATCCAATCAACTTCCAAACAACCTTTCTCCGAATTCTATATGAGCACTGTGTCACCACCCAACTCGCAAGATATTTCTAGGCACCCAAAGGGCGTTAACCACCCTTCAACTCGTACACTGAGGAAACGGAAAGAGGCGCCGCTGCAAAAAGCAACGTGCAGAATGAGGCACTGATCTTGTGCTAATTTAACCCAAGAGTTTAGAGGCTACGGTGTGGGTCAAGTTTGGGGGGGGGGGGGGGCATACATAGCAACATCCCGGGAAGCAATATAATTCTATCCAGCGATGCGTCGTTGTTGCCGGTAAGTTACTCGAAGCCATAGCCAAAAGCTACCGCGCACAACCCTACAACTGACAAACTGTTGCCACCCTTTTGTTGTGGTCTTTTCCGACCTCGCCGCGCTCTCCCCGGATTGTGCATTTCTCTGCCTCATCAACTTGTGGCCGCCATCGCTGCAGTCACCATAGCTGGTGGTCTTCAGTCTTCTCCAACTCCCTCTGCTGTGCATTGCATTGCAGCTGCGTTGTTTTCTATCTTGTTTTTGTTTTTTGTTTTTTGCTTTTGTAACTTCTGGTGAAGTCGCTGCAGCCTAGCATTTTCACGGTCAGCCCTTGGGTGAGAAATCTGATTTTTTGGGGTTTTTAGGGCTTGTGAAGACTTTGGTTTTCAGTAACTTGTGGAGTGTGCAATAAAAGGCATGACTTGTGAGGTGGGAAGTTAGTAGGGGATTAGAAGGTCAATTAGAGATAGTATGGAATTTATTGGAAGATGTAAATTGTTGAAGAAAAAAACTTTGGAGTAGTAATTTGGAGTGGGAAATTGGAGTAGAAGTTGTAGGAAATGTTGAATGTTATCCAAACCCATTTTTTTATTTAGTTTTTAGTTAACAATTTGAGTCCTTCAGTTAATATAAGGTTAGGATGTCAAAGTTTATAAGAACTAATGTGTTTGTTGCTTAAGTTGTAAAAAACTTAAGTTGAGTTAAATCATTGATATACACAATGTTATTCCTTGTTAATTGATATCATTTGTTGAGGGAAAAAAATATGAATGATTAAAAGGTTATTAATCATTAAAAGTGGCACATTGAATGCAGGACAGAAATAATCCTTGTCAAGGCCCTAGATCATCCATTGCTCACTTCCACCATGGCTGCCATGTGGCCCTCGCTATAATATGGCCTTTCTTTGCCTAATCATGTGTAGACATGTGGCCTTTATTCATTACATATGTTAATTAATAAGTCAATAAAAACCAATTAAATATTCAAAAAATGGGTTAAATATTTAATTTTGCACCATAAAACAAAGTCAATTTCCAAAATTTTAATTAATTATTGGGAGTTATTGGTTTTCAAGGGATCAATTAACAAGAAAAATATTGTATATATATATATATATGTGTGTGTGTGTGTGTTTGATGATACTAAATCACATCCAACTAAAGGTATTACTTGTTCTTTGAATTATTATTTTTCTAATTATCCATGTGAGTTTTCTTTAGAGGTATTTTTCTATACAAATTAATAAATTGACACCCATTAGTATACAAGGAAAACAACAAGGCAGAAGTTACTTAGAAAATATTATGCTTAATGATGGATATCTACATGTGTTTTTAAGAGCATGCAAGAAGTTAGTTTTTAAGGTAGGTTGGAAAAGTAATAGCAAATAAATGTTTTGTAACTATCTTGTCATGTACCACAAACAAGGTTTGAGTTATGCACTTCTGGTTTTAATCATGTAGAGATGTTGTTCAAGTGGAAACCCACAATCTTTTATAGATTATGTAGTTTTTAAGAATTTATTTTTGCTTCCATTTTTCTTGTTAGTTGGCCAAGTCATTTAGTATGTATATATATATATATATATATATATATCAGTAAAGTGATTACATACACGTATGTGTATATACAGTCAAAATTAACGTTTGAATGGTTGTCAAAGTAAATTTAAAATAGACATATTTAATTGATTGCAAAGAGAAAGAATTATTGGTTACAAAACCATTCATTGAATAACTCTATTGTTTTGAAAGTCAATAAAGATTTCCTACTGCTTCATCATCTATTATGCTCCTTATTCAGATTTTTATTTTTATTTATTTTTATTATTTTTATTATTATTACATTCTTTTTTATGAATATGAAAAACAAAGCTTTGACAAAATCACTATCTTGGATTTTGTAATTGCTTGATTTGGTGACCAAGCTCTAAAGAACGGCTCTATGTTATAATAGCACATATTAATTCTGTCAACCAATTTCACTCTAACCCGTTGTTCTCTGGGATACTTCGATGCATTCAAAAATTATTTGAAATGAAAACTCAGTGGATTCAGAGTTTTGGTTAGCATGGTTTGACTTCGTGCTCTTTGTGGTAACGAAGATTTTGACAACGATCGTCAGTTTAAAGATGCTCGTTCAATTCATGACTTGTAATGGGTGCAACACGAAGTTAAGTGGCAAACCTTACAACAATTGGCACATTACAGTGTATTCCATTAAACAGGATGAAGAATAGGCTGAGAGTATGTAAAAATGTGATTGGTGCGAAAGTCAAGGAGTTTGGTCAAACTTGTAAATGTATATTTTCCATCTTGCTTGAGGAGTTTTCTTTAGATCGAGATTCGCAAGTTCTTCACTGATTTTCATTCCACGAGAGAAGATTAAAGATGCTTCTGGAGGTTCAAAAAGATGGATAGCGAGTGGCGTAAAAACTTCGAAAGCAACGTGAAGTTGGTAAGAGATTTCGAAATCACAACCAGGAAGGTCATCCTCAAGACCAGATTTGAAGATCAAGGCAGAAAGCAGCTTTAAAACCCATGAGTAATTAGAGAACATGCACTTTTTTTTCCGGATGCCACCAACAACACGTACAGAAGACTAACAGTCACCTACACGAATAAGCAAGAAAGCAGAGTGGACATCATCTCCATTGCAAAATGAAAGGAAACTAAATTTACACCCTCCCATTCTCCGGGTCAGACAACGCCTTCAGTAGGAACTAAACGCAGAGCACCTACAACCAACCTATGCTTCGCACCTACAGGCATCCAATCAGCCAATGCTTACTGCAAATCGTGACTCCACCAATGTACAATACCAAAAGACCAATCAGTAGCGATACCTTGCAAGATATCAATATCTTGGAAGTATATCGCAAACCTACTCATTGACACTTAGTCCCCGGGAGGACGTACTCCTGCTTTCAGTTTCTCCTTCTTCAGTTTCTTCTTCGACACTGGCTTCTTTTTCTTGGCTGGAAGATTTTTCTGGGCATATTGATATAAGAAGAAGTTGCCCACGAGAAAAACAACCAAAGATCCTAACACCACAATGAGGACGATGAGCCCTGGATTCAAACCGGAGCTCGTCTCGACATCCCTCTGTTCCAGACCACACACGATCAATTCATTACATAGGGACAAATGATTCGAACAGGTCGCAACAGGAAGAAAACGAATTCTCATCAAACAGACGACAAGTTCTTACACAGTAAAGTATCGACGAATACAGAAACACTGAATACTTAAATCTTCGTAAAAGTAATGAGTGCCTACAAAACGGTCAAACGTTGACCACTAGACTTCGGCGATTAGCCGAAGTGGAAGAACCCATGTCAGACAAGGTTTACTATTATCCGCACTTCTGTTCAAGGAACACTTAGGCAGTTTATCATTTGTGCATATCGCCTACAACTCTTAGAGATTTCTACGCTGCAGAAATACAAATTCGAAGAGCACCAAATGATCTCTACAAGGACAAGCTATATCCGGAATGAAAACACAGAGGGAAGTTCTCAATTATCAGATGCCAATCTTTCAAAAAATAACAGTTCATCACAACTGAAAGGAGAAGCTTTTCAAACTTCGAATACATTGACTGCGTGTCAAAGCTCTGAAAATCAGACAAGCACGATTCGAGTAAGAAGCAATGTCAACGAGAACTGTGAATAATGGAAGGGAATGCAATCCATGAGGACCACACGACAACTGAGTCTAAAGCGGCATAATGATCGTGTACATTAACCCCTAAACTCGCACGATCACGTGATTCAATCGAGGAGCATCGTCAATGATGTAACGGCGAGAACATAAACTCTACCTACAACTGCAAAGTCTTCACACAGACCCACCGGACATCTCACAATCCCACAGCTACCTCGTCATTCGATGTAGAACACGACCTAATCCACCCCCAATGTCGTTACAAGTATCGAAACCTATGTCCTCATTCCAGGGCGAAGCTACAGACTACGCACTCAAAAAGTCCATGGATCTGCAGAAGATCAATACACCGAGTCACCCACAAACCTTCTTCAACCCGAGTCAATCTCCACAGCTTCAATCACCAACCCAACTCCAATCCCAGCCAAAGCCTTACATGCTCGATCTACCCCCAACACCCACAACCCACACGCCCTAACCATAACACCATACTCCCTTACAACTACCCGAACAGAGACGCTCCAAAGCTTTTCAAATCCAAAAAAGCACATTAGAAGGAAACGTCAAGCAAAGTAATATACAATTTCAACACTCTCAACACCCACAACACCCACAATCGAAGCGAAACTTGCGCAAACACAGACACAAAGTGCAATGCCAAGACGTCAACCGCGACAAATAGAACCAAACTCCGGGAATAGAAGAAGAAGAAGCAGAGGAGAGGAGAGCCAGCCATACCGTAGCATTAAATGCCGAACCGGGTTTCGCCATGGCTCCGACAACAATCCGATGCGCGTGAGTCCTCCTCCTCGAAAGCTCGAAAGCTTGACGCTCGAAAGCAGAAGGAGCCGATGCTTGGAGAAGGAGAAGGAAGCCATGGCATCCGATGGATGAATAATATATATTATAGTGGCGCTTTATTCATTATTTGATGTTTTTCGTTGATTAAGGTGAGTGACGTCCAACAGGGCTGGTATTGGTGGGGAGGCCACGATTCGTGAGGATGAAGACCAATGGGATGGCGTCGCCTCGTGGCTTCGAGGGAGGTGTGAAAAGGGGTGGAAAAGAAGCTCTTTTTTTGATTTTAATATTATTTTCTGCTTTGTGTGGGGCATGTTCGTTTGTAAGTCCAGGCCAGCTGTGTTCTTCTTTTACTTCTACCCTTTTAATTGTCTAGAGTTCAACGACTTAGGACAGTTTTAATTCTTCTATATATATATAGAGGAAAATGAAATAGACCTAAGCTTTTATAAAATCAACCTATCCATCCTAACCATCATGAAAAAAATTAAAAATTAAATAACCTCTAGATTTATTTCTCCATTTTTGGATCTACAACCAATAAAAACCAATCACATTCATCATGATTATCATAATCTTTATCAAGGGTGGATTTATTTAGTAAAATCATGGATTTATTTAACATATATGAATATATATATATATATATATATATATGAAAGAGTGTTCAAGATTAAGAATCATTCCTATTGAAAGTTTTATGATAATACTACCATTTCTTTTTCTTTTTTTTCTTTCTTTTTTTATTTATGCTAGTTAATTCAATAGTTGTAAAATGATGATGATGATGATAGTAATACTAATAAATATAATGGAAATTATAATAGTTGGTGTATTATTTTGAATATATTATGAGTTAATATTCTATTTTAATTTTAAATAATCTAATTTTAAATATTTAATAATGATTTGAAGCTATTTGATAAGAAAATACAATGATAATAAAAAAAAACATCAAGACCATAAAAGAATAATAACCATAAATTAAAATTTTAGGATTTTTTTAAAAATATATATATTACGCTTGATATTTATAGTGTAATATATAAGATATGTATTTTCTTTGCTAATATATGATATTTTACATAAAACTATATAGTTCCATGTAAAAATAATAGTAATTTGATTCAATAAACCTTATTCATTTATGTGTGTTCATTCATCAATTTAAATTATTGAGAAGGTTTATAAAATATTGTACATTTTTTAAAGATTACAATATTTTTTGGTAATTTTTTTCCAATACAATTTTTATTCCAAAAACATCTCTAATACATATATAATAACATCTCCAAAAGCAAATATCAATGATTTAAGGTCATTGTAACAATTATACAATCATTTAGCTTACTAAATGGATTTCTTCTAATATATATATATATATATATATATATATATATTGTGTAGGATATGTAATTTCTTCATTTATATATAACATATTATATAAAACTATATAAAAACCCAAAATGATTGATATCAATATTATCTCATTTTGTATTTTAATATGAATGAAAGCATAGATATATTTTAATTTTTTTATTCATGTATTTAAAATAAAAATTATAATACTTGTATTTGTTTGTTATAACTAATTTAAGTTGTACTTAAATCTTTTATTAGTAAAAGTCAAACTTTAAAATTCTAAAATTATATAAGCTCATATATCTTTTCATATCAATGCTTATATTAATAATAGTCCACATTTAATATAAGTTTGTGTCAATTTAAGAAATTAGTATATATCACCTTAGGAATGTTGTTGTGCTCTAATATATTCTTCTTCATTTTAAAATTTTAAAATTTAAATTCTATCTTCTTACTCTCTATACTTTCAATATAACAACATCCATCTGGAAAAAGAAAAATCCTTCAAGGTGGAGCAATGACATGAAATACAAAAAAATATAAGAAAGCTCAAGAGCCTCCATGGGCAATCAAACATGCATGATAATTAGATTTTAGTTCTCCACTACTTTGTGTAGAGCATGCAAGATAGTAAAAAATGGAAAATAGTCAATGATAATGTTTAATACCAAGCATGTATACAAAACACACAACCACAAGCTTCTTTCTTCTTCATCCCTTTTTTTCATTCTTGTTGTCATTGTCCTTCTCTTCCCATATTGCAAGTTGGACAAGCTACCATATTCAATACGAATTCCCATAGAAGTGTCCAAATTACAAATTAGTATTCTAAAGCAAATAAAAATCATAGTGCCAAATCTTCATAATATAACTTCTTTCTTATAAAAATCATCAATCTTCTTCTTTTCCATGTCACTATTACTACCATTATCATCATCATCATTCCTTATTTGTATCCTTTGAGTTTGTTGAATGCTACTTTCTTTTTTTCTTTCCATTTTTTTGTGTGCGGTCTTGTACAAATGTTTTGTAAATATCTTTTCATATAAGACGTGGATATTTGATGTAAGTACTTATATCCTTCAAAAGTAATGTTGATATCAAGAAGTTGTTTATTATAATATTATAATATATATATTTAAAAAACATTATTTCTCACTATTGATATATAGAATAATCTGATATTAGATAGTTGAAGTCTTTTCCTTATTATATATAGAAAAAAAACCATGTAGCCTATGTTGCAAGTAATATTTTGTTACATTTATTCTTGTTATTAATATAAAATAACAAAGTTTTGAAATTTGAATATGGTATATTATTTTCATAAAACTAAAAAAATAAATATTATTTAATTAAATATATTTTATCTTATTATGCATATGTTCATCAATATATATATATAAGAAGTTATCAATGCTACATCCCAATATTGTTAAAGCCACACCTCTCTTTCCAACTCATGATTCATTTTTTTACAAGTTCCATATCCTCCATCTCGTTTCCATCTCACATTCCCATTCCTATACTCCAATCCTACTACCTTAATTCCACTTCTTAGTCTCGACCCTCACTTCTTTGTTTGATTTTGTTAAGGCTAAGATTGTATTTGTCACTATTTATTCAATTAGAATCATTCACTAATAGAAGAGGAGAAAACAAAGGAGTGGAGTGGAGATGAGGGAGACTGGGTTGGAGAGAGTAGACACAAGGTAGAAATAGGGTTGAGGCAGTAAGGTTGAAATTAAGAGGTGGAATTGGGGTTGCGGAATTGGGACCAAGGGATAGGAATTGGAAGCAACAAGTAGGGTTGAAATACTAGAGTTGGAGTATAGAAACAAAGATGTAGAATGGAAATGGTATGGGAGATATAGAACTTGCACAAAAATAAATCATGAGTTGGGAAGGAGGAAGTATGGCTTTAACAAGTTCCTATCTATCTATCTATCTATCTATATCTATATATATATATATATATATATATATATATATATAAACACTAAAATATATTTTTTATTTTATTTATTTTTATTATTATTATTTATATATATTTTTTAAAAAATAATATTAATATATAATATTTTATAATTTTTATGCAACTAAAGATGAAAAAATTTTATGTTGTAAATATAATTAAAAAATAAAAATACTTACAAAATTAATTATCAGATTTAATTTTTTAAAATCAATTTCAAACCTTTGATTCTAAATCCTAGACTTAAATATATGTTTAGATCCTATTAATAAGAATCTAATATATTTTAATCTAATATAAAAAACCAACAAGCTAATTTAAGGTTAAATTAAATTATAACCAATATTAAATAATCTAAATTGACATTTCTTTGTTACGAGATATAGTTACACTTGCATAATTCCACCATTTTATTCACAACTTACATTAGCACTTAATTTTATACATTAATCCTTAATTTATTTAAAATATAAAATTTTAAAGTTAAAATGTATATTTTTATTATTAAAAATTACATATTAGACTTCAAAATAATTTTATGTAAGCATGAATATTTTATTTATTTATAAATTTGAAATTTATTTTACCTTAGTGACTTATTCACTTTTAAAAGTTAGAAATTTGTATAAGGGCCATATATTGTTTTTTTCTTTTTAAACTTATTCTTATTTATAATAATTAATATTTTCTAAATAATCCTTAAAAATAAAAAAATCTTAGATATTCTAGGACCTTGTTGGTAGGAGCTAATTATTTTATCAACATATATTAAATTCAAAATTCTTCTTACTTAATTAATGTTACAAGTTATTTAAATATATATGTATGTATGTATGTATATATATATATATATTTGGAATATTTTTTATGTTAAAATTTATATAAAAAAATATTAAGATTAATTATGTATAATCAATTGTGACATTATTAATGGTGATCATTCTATTTTGTGATTCTACAAGACATTCACTACTATTACACATAGAAATAACTAAGAATAATTCTTCTAATTGATATAAATTTATCTTTTTTATTATAACAATAAGAAAATATTTTCTATATATTTTCTATATATTTCCATGATGTTCACGATTGATTATGAGATTATAAAAACATATAGATGTCTCTATGTGGTTTGACCAAGTGAAATAAGAGATCCTAGATACAATTTTAAATACATATCCTTTATAAATAATATTTTATGACTTTTATATATTTTAAACTTAGTCATTAAATAAATAATTGTTTATTTTTAGTAATGTTTTTAAGTATACTATTTCTAAAAATATAATTTTAAATATTATGTATAGGTTTTAGATCCATGTAATAATTATTATTTTATTTTATTTAAATAAATTATTTAAAAATCTATTAAGAATATTTTTTGAACCAAAATTTAAGACTTAAGTAAATGTTAATAATTTATGGAAGAAGGTTTTAAGAAATAAATCTAACACTGTAAATCTATAAATAAATCTTTGATTTGAGTCTTTTACTACAATATTTTTGTTAAATCTTAGTTCTATGTAAAATTTGAAGGTTTGAAATACTATGAGTAAATTAGAAACAGATTTGATTCTACAGTTAATTTATTGTAAATGAATTACAAATAATAGAATTTATTTATTATAATTTTTGTGAAGCAATTCGTATACCATTATTTACTTATTTACATTTTGTTTTTATATTTGGCATATACTAAATGGATTCCAAATTATAATAAATGAATAAAATAAATTCTACAAAGGATATCA